TGAATATGAGAGTAAGAAAACGTGCTCACTTTCCTGTTTTTTAAAAAAGTAATGAGGTAAAAAGAATAAAAAGGCCCTATCGCTTTTTTTAAACAAGACAATAAATGGTGCATACGATGATTATATTTATGAAATAAAACCGATCTTTCTCTATTCAATTACATTTTTAATTTAAAATAACATAAAAAAGAATTTCAATACTTTTAATTTATTTTAATTAAAATCATATAAATGATATTTTTATGTTAACTGAATATTTTTCGGAAAAAATCTAAATTTTCATTCCTGGTGTTCTCCTTTTCGAACTTCTTGTATTAAATAAAAATTTCTTTTCTACATAGGCATTTGTGATGGTCATAACACATTCAGTCAATAATTTTTAATTTTAATGCGGGATATACTTCTTCAAATGCGCGTGGCAGTACTTCTAACCATTTTCTACTCAAGTTTAATTTTTTATCTTTCTATTTCTTTTATTACAAGAAAAAATGTCACACATCGATAACTACTTTTTCACACAATTCAGTCATTACAAATTCTATTGTGAGAAAAGTTCTCCGTAATTAATTTTGTCTTTCAAAACAGTACACTTAAAACAATTTTGTTCAGTGAAGTTAACCGACAGTTCCACAATGTATCCATACCAAATTTTAAAAACAATTTTAACATTTGGAAATGTATCCTGTATTAAATTTTTTGAGTATACAGTACAGTCCCGCTAATCCGAACATCCGGTTAATCCGAACAGCTCCGCGGAAAAATTTTTATAATTTTAAGGACGAAAATCGGTGAATATTTCAATATAAAACAGTATAAACCTTAATTCAAAACAGTTCTTTATTTAATATTCACGCACTGTACATCAAGTTATGGTACAAATTTTAAAATGGAATAAACTACAGAACAGAACCACTAATGTTTAGTATGAAAAGTTGTACAACATAACCCGTACTCCCAGTTCAAATAGTGATTTCGCTGTTACTCCGGCTAATCCGAACAATCACGTAATCCGAACAGGGGTCGGTCCGATATTGTTCGGATTATCGGGACTGTACTGTACACAAATATTTCCTGTTGTAGGGAAGACATAGTATGAGATGTGGAGTGTGGTTTTGAAAAAAATGTTTTCGTACATGTAGACTATTTTTGAAAATTTAAATATCATTGAAGCTGATCATATAACTGCAAATGAGCCTTATTTTAATGCGTGCTGGTATAACACATTACTATTAAACAGCCTATGAGTTTATATTCAATATCAAACTATTGGCAAAATGTGTGTGTGTGGCTTACAACTTCTATTCAAATTGTAAAGAAACTGAAATATAAATATATCTTACTGCAGTCAAAAATATTCATAATAAGTAAATATCCTATTCCTCCACTTATTTCAGTACATTTTAAAAACCATAGATGAAAGCAATTTTTTATATTTATAAATGAGGCATAAAAGTTCACACAGTTATAAAAATGTCTTTATTATTTTTAAATATACTACTATAAAACGTATATGGATTGTAAGATCAGTTCTAAAATCCTAAAAGCTTTTAGAGGAGCAAAAAACATGTAATTTTGGATGGATCAAAATTTTAATATAATACACAAATATACATGTTATTAAGCAAATACATATGAAAAATCAAACTTCCTTCTGAAATAAACGTAATTGAAAGAAAAATGTTTAATTGCAAATGAGTGGAAATACATGTTTATCTAAGGAGTATCCCCAAAGTGAGGCAATCCTCAAACTTAAAACTCAAACTCAGTGGCATAACAATCCATGAGGGCCAGGAACTACTATGCCCATCCCAATATACATGACCATTGGGCGCTGAGGTGTATGAACAGATGTCCCGATTTGGTGGTCTGTCTGAAGAGAGACTTTCAGTGTTTAAGACCCCAAGCAAGCTTGGTACTCATTTATCGACCCAATGTAGCAGGGATGAAAGGCAGAGTCGACCTTGCCCAGCCTGTTAATAGAATCCAAGACCTGTGGTGTGGAAGCACGATACACTACCACTCGATCCTATTCAGTGAAAAATAAAACTTAATGTTGGAATCTTTTATAATTCCCTAATGAATGAGGGAGTCCAAACTTTTTTTTCATCAAAACTGTTTAGACAGAAATGGTTAATTATGATTATGAACATTTCACAAGTTCCATAAAATAAAATTAACCGTTATAGTTTACATAAATTTTTAAGAGTGCAAAAGGTGTATTTTGGCTGCATGAATTAATTTTAAAAGGAATACGGTTACGAAAAAGTAGTGCAAATCTATCTAAAGTATGGTTGGTTACCTTAGATATTGTCAAACTCAACAAAGTATTGGGAGCCAATTCCACAATTCGTTGTTATAAAAATGTATGGAAAATTACAAGACTTAATTTTTGCATTTGTAATTTATATATTTTTTTTCCTGAGAGATTTAAAAGCTAGAACGGCATCCATCAAAACCGCGGTTCCCTCTCTGTTTTTCCAGATCGCCCCTGACTAAGCCAGCTCTGCCATAGTAAGTGAAAATGCTGTATTTCATTTGTGAAGATCATTTTATAGCAGACTGCATTTTTCATGTATTTTAGATGGTCGTTTTATATTTTCTACATCAATATCTTAATGTCTGAATTTAAAATTACATAAAATTCTTGACATCGATTCAATGACCATTATAATTTTTATTAGTATATGAATGCATTGTCAAACGATTACATGACTGTTATTAATATATTATTTTAACCATTTAATTAATATTAAGTATAACATAGCGCACACAAATTTTCTGAACTTTAAAATAAATATTTCGAAAACTGCTTCAGATATATTCATAATTTTTCATTCTTATGGTTTAGCTTCTCAGTTTTGCTTCTATGTAAGAATTTATTGTAATCGTATATTCATCAATTTTTTTAGTATATTTTTTGCTCTTAACATGCAGTTTTCAACCAAGTTGTATGAAATTTTCGAAATATATTAAAAAATATTAAAGAAGCTATATAACAAAAAATTTGAAATTTATATTATACTCAAAGAATTGCTAGAACTTAGGGTAAATAATTTTTAACTGCGCGATACATTTTTTTTCGAAATTTCAAATGGAATTTCTAACATAAAATTTCTAGCTTTATACGGTTGAGATTTCAAAAAATATCCAGATTTTAATTACTTATTCAGTTAGCCTTTAAAAAAAAGATAAATGTTGAGGTATTTTGCATAAATAAATATTTTTGAATAAAAATTCAAATGTTTTTGAATAGCTCAAATTTAAAATTGATTGACTACTGTAAATGTTTCTGTATATTTTTGATTACCATTTATTCAAACATTCAAGTTATAAAAAAAATGTGGGAAAATCTTCATTCATGTTGTCTTTGATGTAAACTGAAGTTCAAGCACTTAAAATTCATATATAATTCGGTGTATTTTAACAATATATAACTAGGCACTGTACGTAAACTTCCCTGAACACTTGGGCTTTGAAATCTAAAAAAAACAACAAAAAACTAATAGATCTTAATAAGTTTTTTTTTCTCGTTAGTATTTTTATCAAAGTGTAAGAAAATGTTTCAAATTATTTGATGAAGTTTAAATTTATTCATTTTTAGTGGTTGGAAAGTTTAAAAGGTTTCAAATTTTAATGTGTTTGGTGTTTTATTAATTTTTTTTGGCATCTTATAATGAAATAATCATGTTTCAAAAACTGAAAGCATTGATTAAGATAAGAAAAATGAAGTGAAAGAATATACTTAAAAAGGTAATTTGTCTAACTATATAAAACAGAAGATTGCCCTGACATGCCCCAACTTGTTACAGTTTCAAATTAATATGAAACCAAAAGGGAATTGTAACATATTTTACTTATGCGTTGGGACTTTTCAAAACTTTTAAAATACAAGCTAACAAACAAACACTTTCTGGGGCCTAAAGAAATTTCCCCCTGATTTTTTACGATTGCTCCAGGGTCAAAACACGGGGTTCCCTGCGAGCCATAAAACTTCCTATCAGTGTCCTGGTGTGTGGCTTCCACTGTCCTTAATTATCTTTCAAGATGTTAAACCTTTAAAAGGGGGAGAGGATTTCAGAAAAGTACGGCTCAACCGCTTTTGAGAATGTTACTTGAAGACAAATTTATATGTGCGGTGCATTTTCGAAACATCTTTACAACGATGGAATTTTCTGTGTGGAACGCTTGGAGGGTTAAATTTTAAAAATGAGGGAAAACTTATTTGATGGAAATAAAATTATCTATTATAATGGACAGTGATACACATTTAAAAGAATGTATTTTATACTTCATAGCAAACACAAATTAGCATTCATTCACTGGCTATCTTATTGTATAAAATGATGAACAAAATTATCAATTCTACAAACTTGCAAGGAACAACTGTCATGAAAAAATCCACCATCTTCCTAGCATCATCCCTTTTAGAAAAGAAGAAATCTACCCCAGCTGCAAGGGAGGAAAAGAGACAGAGAGATTAATGCCCGAAGTATTATACAAAAGAGACAAAATAAAATTAAACAAAATGATGAATATAGAAAAAAATATAGAATTACCATGAATTGCCTTAATATTGATGCAATTTGCATGCATATTGTGTTTTAATATCAATTGTTCCAGGTAAAAAAAAGTTTTCTTGTGAGCCACCTAAACACAAAAAGCATAAATAATGATTAAGAACTGAAGTAAAATATATAAATACAAGTAATATAAAAAAATTTTTAAGTCAATTCCTACTCAGGTCAATGAAGAAAATTTTTTATTTTAGTTACTTTTTATAAAATAATTACAATTAATATAAATATGTATAGACATATGACAGAATCAAAATATTAAGTGGCAAAATTGAAAGCGATTTTCCTTGCAATTTTTCATTTTCCTTTCTATATATGGGTGCTGAACTATTATTTTTTGTTTGTTACTATTTATTCATTAATTAAAAATTTCACTATTCTAATAAAATCTTATAATAAAAAAAATCACATTCTCAGAAATCGGGCTATCCCAGGTGGGATTCGAATCCACGACTTTTGGATTAAAAGTCCAATGGGCCATTGCGCTACAGGGATGCAATGAGTGATTTTCCTTTCTATATATGCTGTTGGACTATTATTTTTTTTGTTATTATTCATTTTTTAATTAAATTAATAAATTAATGGTTGAAAAAACTTTATTAACATCAAGTGTCATGCACTACAAGTTTAAAAAAATGTATTTGAATAGATGAATAGAAAGCATTTTATTAATGATTGAAAATTTGAACGATATCTATATATATATATATATACAGTCGAATCTCTATATTGCGAATTTTTCTATGTATTGAACTTTTTCCAGGAACCAAGAACATTTCATGATTTTCTTCGTAAAATAACCTCCCAATAATGAATGTATTTTCTATATAACAAACTTTTTTTCTTGTGATTTAATTTTGTCTTTTTAAAGTGTTTCTGGACATTTTAAGTTATTCTCTATTTTAACACATTTTATGGTGGTCAAAAATCTTGAACTGATTTTACTAGGGACCTGACTCACCTAGAACAAAAAAACTGCTGTAATTTTTTAAATAAAATTATCAGACTTGATGAATAATTAAATTTAAGGATGTAATGTATGTTTAGAATTTCTAGTTATAAAATAATATTATGTTTAAAATTATTTTCTTAATGTTGAAAATACAATGCATTCTTGGACATTCTTTTGTATGGTATTCCCTGCAGTTTTTCTTTCTTTTTTTTGATGGGTAAGATAAATAAAATAAATATATAATTAATTTACAAAAAGGTGTGAATAATTACTTTTCCTTCATATAGGGTGCTTTTGAATTTAAAATTTGCTTTATAAAGTATATTTGAAAGATGAATTTCTATAAAACGAATTTTCCATATAATGAAATTTTTTGCAGGATTTAGCGACCGTTAAATTGAGGTTCAACTGTGTATATATAGGGAGAGAGTGAACTAATAGTAGGAACTAAGTGAATAAAAATGAATAAAGAAAAATAAGCCAATAATTTACGCAAGACTGATTATTCTAAAACTGTATATTTTACCAACATATTGAACATAACTATTTTTGAGAGTTAGGATTTTAAAAACTTTCTTGAGGAATGGAAAGAATAGTTAAAATTTTACTACATTAAGATTTTTGTCTGTTTCTAAATCCCTAAACATGATACAAAAGTAGAAAACTGTAGATGAGTTTGTTTGCTTTGAATGAATAGCATACTAAAGCTATACAGGGTTCCCAAAACTTAATGTTAAGTAGGTGCAGGGTAAAAGTCATATCAGTACTGGGGAACATTAGAATAATAAAAAAAAAATGAAAACAAGCCTCTATCACTTAGTTAAGTAGTGACTAACATATTTTTGAAAATGGGGCAAATTGACACCTTCAATACATCATTATGTACTCTGGCCACAAATTTCAGTGTTTTTTTACTAATCGCCATCTAACATAACTGTGCTATTACTCACAGCTACAAGTTGAGCAAAACACTTTAGCTGGTTCCGTTAAAATTAAAACAGTTTTTTTTGGTCAAGATTTGAGAAAATGACGTCATCTAACTTTGACATCATAAAAAGAAAAAATATTGCATACAATTCTAGGCAAGTTCTCAAAAAATGGCCTGTTTAGTTAAGATTCCAAAGTGGTACAACATTTGTTCTTTTCTATCCCAAACAATAACAGCCAGGTTTTTTTTTTATTTACAAAACATCTTCATTTTAAAAACACCTCTGTTAACATCCTTTGTGTGCATCCCTTGTTGACACTTTTAGATGTTCTTTTATTTTCCCCAGAACTTATACGACCTATTTTATCACATTCTCGCTTGACATTGAGTTTTGGGACACTCCGTATAATATGCTAGAAGAGATAAGTTCTTTAATTTAGAAAAATAGTCAAGTGTAAGGATTACATGTGAGCAAGCACCTCATTTTCTTTTTTTCTTGAACATGCTACATAAAGTTCTAACTCTGAAGTTTAGCTCAGTTTCCCTCAAACTTTATCACGTTAAGAATTTCTTTTAATGAAAAGTACAAAAGATGCATTAAGAAAGATATATGTAACAGAATATCAAGTTATAAAAAAACATTAAGATATTGCGATTATGTTTATTAAAGAAATGTATATGATTTCATTGTAATTTAGTACGTAATTTTGATACAGAATTCTCATGGCTCAAACATAAGGTCAAATACAGCAGGTTGTTATGAATAATTAAAAATCTAGCTTTGTAAAAATAAAGGTATTAAAATTAAAACAATATGATGAAACAGACGATAAAATTATACATTACTACGAGGTAAAATTCATAAAAATCACAATAGCCAACACACAAAATTATGTAATAAAAATGTTGTAAGATATATGGAAGAAAAATGCAGGCAAAACTTTTTAAACAATGACAAATATGGAAAGTAAAATTATTACCTTTAATATTCTTACTAGGTGTCAATAGATGAGTATTGTTTTAGTAGTTCACATATAGATTCATTCATATCATTCACAATCATATCTCTCTTTTACTTTTACTAAAAACTGAAGAGGCAATTTGCTTCATTTTGTAGAATATTAATTTTATTTCAATATTGGGTTTACTGACTTCCTGATATATATGATTCTTAACATTTTTGAAGCTTATATAGTTTTTATTTTTCACATTTTTAGTTTGAGGATTGACAGACGAATAACTTTGAACTTATTTATATCAAATAGGAATACTAGAAAACAAGGACATTGACTAAGAGGATGGTGAATTATAAAGTTTACATGAAAATTGTATAGATGAACTAAAAGTTATGTTCAATTTGAAATAAAGTGTAACAGAAGTATACATTATTGAAACATTTTTTGAATGTGATGAAGCAAATGACATACTCATAGAAACAATAACCACTGACCCAATAGAAATAAATATATTCTTAGGACAATGTCAGTGAGTGTTTATTAATGTTGCAGCACTGGTGTAACTAGTTCTGAGGGGGCCCTGTATCAAAATCCTTTGGGGGCCATTTTTTTTAGGAAATGTGAATTCTGTTTATGAGACATTGATAACATTTAACGATATTTTGGTTTCACATATTGGGGCCTTTGTACCTTGGTGACCCTTTATTATTGCAACGGTGGTAGCTAAACCTCTGAATTGCAGCATTAAGCAACAAAAGGTTTCTAAATAGGATATTTTTGGATCCCCCCTTTTATTTGAAAATCTGGATAAATTTTTGAATTAAAAAAGATATGATTGGTTCCTGCTGTGATGTTTGAGAAAGTCTATGGTAGTGTGAGAGTTAGGAAACTACATATTTAGTTTATTTACATGACGGCTATTAATTACAGTATAATATATATTTACATTGAAGTTATTCATAATACTGAGTATTTCATTAGTGTTCAGAATGTTATATGAAACGAAGGCGGCAACACAACTGTTTACTTTGGTGTTTTTTTCAAAATTCCTCCCCTCCATGTTCTTGGGCAGTTTCATTCTAACACTTCAAATCCCAAAGTTTCCAGCTTACAGGTGTTCAGCCCTTGGGTTTTCTCACAGTCATAGGTTGTCAGGGAGATGTCAGATGACAAGACCCCTCAATATTTAGGAGTGCTCATGTGAAAAGGAACAATGTTATCCTACCCCCCCAAAAAAAAAATCAATTTTTCACCTTTATGATGCAAAAATGTCATATTGCTCATGACAAAACATTCCACATTTTAAGTGCAATATGGAAAAATGCCCAACATGTGCACATCCAGTGTTAGCTTTGTGAATGCCCATATTCGTGACACTTGAAATACACAGAATTTGGATAGTTAGGTATATCTTGAAGCAAAAATATCTTATTTTAATTGTTGCTGGTAATTGAAGATAGTAGAAGGGTAAAAATGCATTAAGTTGGGGGGGGGGAACAACTTCTTCAATGGCTCAACAGACCTGGGTGGGCCGTGGCCTTCTCCAGAAGTCTTTTCCAGGCATCCCTACTTTTAGCAACTTTTTTCCAATTTTTGACCTTTAAAATTTTTAGGTCCTTCTCAACACAGTCAATCCATCTTAACAGGGGGTCTACCCCAAGGTCTATTTAACATGGGCTTCGCCAGAAAGGTTTTCTTGCAGCAATGATCTTCATTCATTCTAGCCAGATGACCAGCCCCCATTTAAGTTTCTAATTTGACAAACTTTACAACATCAAGTTGTTTGTAAATTCTGTAAAGTTCTAAGTTAGATTTTCTTCTTCATGATGGATTCCACCAAGAATGCAGTGTAAGATCTTTCTCTCGAAAATCCCCAAAGCCTCCTCATCTTGTAAAGTCAATGGCCAAGTCTCTGATGCATAAGTCAAGACAGATCTTATAAGACTTTTGTAAAGAGGGAATTTAGTTCTTAATGAGAAAACTGGATTTTAAATAACTCTTTAATGCATAAAAGCATCTATTTGCAGCAATGATTCTTTTATAAATTTCTGGAGCCAGCTCATTTTTATTATTTATCTTCGTTCCCAAATAAGTAACACTGTTAACTTCTTCAAATTTATAATTGCTAATTTCTAGGTGATTAAGTTGTAAGTTGGACTTTAAACAAGGTAAATATTTAGTTTTATTCTCATTTACAAATAAGTGAATTCTTTTAGCACTTTGTTCTAATGCCATAAATGCCTGTTTAAGAGTTGATGCTGTTCGGGCAATAATGCCAATATCATCAGCATTAGCCACTATTTGAACTGACTTATTAAAAATATCTCCCCTAATATTTATTTTTGAGTCTCTAATAACTTTTTCAGTAACTATATTAAACAGGAAGCATGCCAATGCATCCCCCTGTCGCACTCCATTTTACACCTCAAGCTGTTCGGTGAAATCACTCTGTACGTGTGCTTGAAAAGAATCTCTATTAACTATGATTTTCCTGTTCTAATAAGAAAATCCATCAAGAATTTTCTACTTCATAGGAGTAAAACATGTCCCATTCAGAAACGGTTTAATAATTTGTTGAATTAAAAGTAAGGAGATAACCTAGAAATGTTTTTGCTGAGAAAGTTTAGATCATAAAGTCAATGTAATTTCTATAAGAAAC